CTGTCTTTTGCTGTGCAGAAATGTTTTGATTTGAATCCCGCTTATTTACTTTTCCTTTCATTTCTCTTCCCACAAAGCATAGTTTTTAATTTTTATGAAGTTCAGCTTTTCTCTTTCATGGATAATGTCTCTAGTGAGCTATCTAAAAAGGCATCACCATACCCAAGGTTACCTAGGTTTGTTCTAAATATTTTTTGTAGAAATCTTTTTGTGAACCTCTATTTTCTTTCTCTTTGTTAACTAAGAGTGAAATTGCTGGATCATGGGTATGAAAGATGAATGTTTAGCTGTAAACAAATTACCAAGTAGTTTTCTAAAGTGATTGTATTATTTTATACTCATACCAGAAATGCATGATTCCAGCTGCCTCAAATCCTCACTAATATTTATTATTAGACTTTTTTGAGTTTAGCCACTGCAGAGCATGTGAAATGAATTCCAATTTTGGTTTTAATTTGCATGGCTTGACTAAAGATAGTGAGCACCTTTTCATGTGTTATAACATTTGCACATCTCATGAGGGTCTGTTGAACAGGTTGATCATGTGTATTTCTTCTTTGGAAAAATGTCTATTCAAATCCTTTGCCCATTTCTATTTTTTTTTAAAGATTTATTTATTTATTTATACAAGCACTGGGTACAGTCAGAAGCGCAGGAAGGTGAGAGAATTCACCAGAGCCAGAGCGGGGAGCAGAACAGGCAGACTGAGGAAATACATTGCTGAGGGGAGCAGCAGGCGCAGCAGGAGAGGTCTGTCACCCCATGTGCAACCCTTGCCAGCGTTTGGGGATCGAACTGGTGCTGCAGAGGTTGTGGGCAGCTTCACAGCCCAGCGCTCAACTGCTGTGCCACCAGGGGAGGCCCATCTCTGCCCATTTTGAAATCAAACTTTCTTTTTTTTGCTATTGAGTTGTATGAGTTTTAAACGCATATATATTTTTTATTTTTTGGATATTAACTCCCTTACCAGATAATTGATTTGCAAATATTTTCTCCCATTTAGTAGATTGTCTTTTCATTTTGCCTTTTGCTGTGCAAAAGCTTTTTAGTTTGATGTAGTCCTATATTTTTTGCTTTTGTCAACTTTGATTTTGTTGTCAAATCCAAAAAGTCATCAGCAAGACTGATGTCAAAGAACTTAGTCTATTTTTTCTACTAGGAGTTTAATGGTTTCAGGTCTTACATTCTTTGAGTTAATATTTGTGTATGGTGTAAGGTAGAAGTCCAGTTTCATTCTTTTGCATATTGCTAATGTTTTTTCAATACCATTTATTGAAGCAACCATCTTTTTCCCATTGTATATTGTTGGGTCTGTTGTTGTAAATTAATTGACCATAGTTTCAATGCGTTTACTTCTGAGCCCTCTTTTCTGTTCCATTGATTTATGTGACTATTTTATGCATATATCATTACTGTTTTGTTGACTCTATTTTTGTAACAGATTTTAAAGTCAGGAACAATACTGTTTCCAGCATGTTATTGTTGCTTTGGCTAGTAAGGGCCTTTTTGTGATTCTATACAAATTTTAGGATTATTTGTTCTATTTTTAAATGAGAAATGTCAATGAAATTTTGATAAGGATGGCATTGGATCTATAAGATTGCTTTGGATGGTGTGGACATTTTAACAACATTAATTTTTCCAACCCGTGAGCATAGACTACTTTTCAATTTCACTTCTTCCGTTTTTTTCATTAATATCTTTTTTTCCCTCTTCCATCAATATTTTATAGTTTTCAGTATACAGGTCTTTTACCTCCTTGGTAAATTTATGACTAAGTAATTCATTCTTGTAGATGCATTATAAATGAAATATTTTCTTAATTTCTCTGTTTGCCACTAGTGCATAGCAGCACAACAGATTTTCATTGATTTTGTATTGTGCTGTTTCCCCAAATTCATGATTTCTAATAGTGACTTTTTTGTATTCCTTTCTTCTGATTTGGATGCTTTTCATTTCTTTCTTTTTTTTTTTTTTTTTTAAAGATTTATTTATTTATTTATACAAGAACCAGGGTACAGGCCAGATGCAAGGGAGGGTGAGAAGATTCACCAGAGACAGAGCTGGGAACAGAACAGGCAGACTGATGAAAGACACTGCTAAGGGGAGCAGTGGGTGAGACAGGAGAGGTCTGCTCGCCATGTGGGACCCTCGCCGGCTGCCTGGGATCGAACCAGCAGCGCTACAGAGGCTGCGGACAGCTTCACAGCGCGGTGTTCAACCGCCTGCGCCACCAGGGGAGGCCCCTCATTTCTTTTTCTTGTCTAAATTTTTGTAGTTGTATAAAAGTGGCAAGAGTGGGCATCCTTGTCTGGGTTCTTCTGAGGGAAAACACCATAACACCATTATGTTAGTGGTGGGCTTATTGTGTATGGCCTTTATTATGTTTAAGTATGTTCTTTTCATACCCACTTGGTTGAGATGCTATTATGTTGTCTTATAAGTATAGAAATTTAAATTTTTATCAAGTCCAATTTGTCAATTTTTTTTTTATTATTAGTGCCTTTTATGTCCCATGCCAGAAATATTTGCCTAGTCCAAAGCTTTAAAGATGTACATGTTTTTTTCTAGAAGTTTTATGGATCTGGGTTTTATTTCAGATCTATGAGCCACCTTTAATTTTTGTGTATAGAATAGCGCTCAAGTTATTTTTTTAAAAGACATCCAATTGCTTCAGCAATGTTTTAATATGCTTTGATGCCTTAATAAAAAAATGAAGTCATTTTTCAGCCTTGAATCTGTTTATATACTAGCCTATCCTAATGCAAATAACATTGTCTTACTTACTGTAACTTGACTATTAGGAATACTTTCACTTCTATTTCCACATTAATGCAGTTTTATTTTCCTCTGGTGTTTCAATGTTGTGTGCAGAAGATTACAATCTTATGTGGTTTTTACAAGTTTTTTCTTTTATGGTTTCTTAATCATGTTCCGTAATTAGAAAAGGCTTTTCTGAACTCGATTATGAAATATATTCACCTTTTTTTGTAGATAACTTTATGATTCCATCTTCTACAAATTATTGATTCATCTGGTATTTGAGAAATGGTATAGACATAAAGCCTGTAATGGTTAGTTATTTCTTAGATTATCTTCTCCCCACTCAGCAGTATTTTCTACCTCAGTTTACTGAGTACTACTGAGATTTCTAGAGACCGCCTGCCTAGCTTTAACACTTAACCAATCAATAATGGCTCAGTTGTAAAACTGAGACAGGAGTTGTACCTATCTTACAGAGGATGAAATAAGATAACTTGAAAAGTGCTGCAGTCCTTGACATGCAAGTGCTCGGCAAATGTTTGCTAGTATTATTTTAAGCACTCATACATACACATGAGTTTATTTCTGGATTTTATATTCTGTTCACTGATCTATCTCCCCCATCTATGTGATTCATCCAGTAACACTCCGTTACTCAACTCACTTCCCAAAGAAATGATCCTATTTCCTCATTTCATCAGCAAAGAAAGGGTCATATCTCAGTTGCCTTTTTTTTAAAAAAAGATTTATTTATTTATGCAAACAAGAACTGGGGTACAAGCCAGAAGTGTGTGTGTGTGGGGGGGGGCGGTGAGAGGATTCACCAGAGACAGAGTGGGGAACAGAACAAGCTGGCAGACCGAAGACACTGCTGAGGGGAGCAGCGGGGGAGTCAGGAGAGGTCTGCTGCGCCATGTGTGTAGCTCCCTGGCCGGCCAGGGATCGAACTCGTGCTGCAGAGGCTGAGGACAGCTTCATAGGTTGCGTCTTACCCCTTTGCGTCACCAGGGACGCCCTCAGTTGCCTTTCTATTCATAACTTGAGCCAGAAAATGTTAACCACGGGAGTGAAAATAAATCTGTGCTTCGCAAGGTAATGAGAATGCAAAGCCAAATAAATCAAGGCACCAGAACAGACCTGGGGGAGGGGAGGGCACCTGCCTACTTCTTCAACCACCTGTTCCGAAAGAGGGAAACCCTGTCATATCTCATTCAGCTCTTGGCATAGCAGACGTCAGCAACATCCAGTAGCTTCTCTTCCCACTCTAGCTTACAACTTCAGAACTAGCAGTTCACAGTGTTACCCCAGTGGGCCACGAGCTTGATGAGCCCGGGAGCAGCAGGCGCGGGGCCAGGCGACTCCCTCCAGGGCCCTCGGTCCCGACCCGGCTGCTTCCCGGGGGGCCGCTGACTCCACGCCCCACTCCCGAGCGACGCCCCAAAGCTGGCCTGGTAGTTAGCCGACCCCGAGCCCCGTTACATCTACGCGCCCAGAAGGCAGGCGGGGTGCCGGGGGTGGGGGGGGGCCCTCAGAGAAGCGAGTGTGGGCAAAGGGCAGAGGGGAGCGCCCGGAGACGCGGCGCAGGGAGGAGGCGCAAGAGGCGGGCTTCGGGCTCCACGAAGCCAGAAAGGCCCCGTCCCGCCTTTCCTGCTCCCTTCGCCTCAGGGGCTCCCGCACCGCCCGGTACAGTCTCCCCGCGCCAACCCGCCGCCGTTCCCGCCGTCGGCGCCCGCCCTCCCGCCCGGACCCCTCCCCCAACGGCCTGCGGCGCCCGCGCGTCCGTGACGTCGGCGAGGGGGCGGGACTTCCTGCTTCGCGCGCCCTTAGGTCTCGGGTCCGCGTCCGCTCCGCGGGGCCTGAGGGGCGCGGGCGGCTGGCGGAGGGCGGCGTCCCGCTCGGCTGTGGGCGCCAGGACCGGCCGCGCACCCCCGAAGAGGCCGGTCCGCCGAGGAGAAGCGGCCCCCTCTCCCTCACCGCCGCCCTCGGAGCGCTCCCCGGACGCCTCAGTTTTCCGCGCCCGCGGGGGCGCTCGGCCCGGGCCCCCCTCGGCTCGCCCCCAGCCTGCCCGGGAGCGGCCGCCGGGACCTCGCCGGGCGCGGCGGGCTGGCCGGCACCCCGGTGGGGGGCTGCCCCTCGCCCCCATGACCCGCGAGAAGAGCCGCGTGGGTGCCGCTGGCCGGAGCTGCGGCGGCGGCGTCTCCCCGGGGCGAGCGCGGCCGGAGCTGCAGCCACCGGCGAGTGCCCCGCGCGCGCGCCGCGGGACCGGGCGTGAGTCCGCAGGTAACCTCCCCGCGGCCGGAGCCCCACTCTCCTTCCCCGCTCTCTGCAAGTTGCTCTGGAGTTCCCTCCTGGGTCGGTTTCCCGTGCGGGGCCGGCGGGCGCGGGGAGCTGGGGGCTGCGGGGCGTGTGCAGCGGCCGGGGCGGTGCACGTGGACGCGGGAGTTTTTTGAGCGCTGCAGCGAGGGGGTGCGGCCGGGTCAGTCATTGGCCAGGCGTGGGGCAGCTGCGGCGGAGTCGCTGATGGGCAGAGCCTTTGGCTCGCCCCTGCAGGGCATCGTGACAGCGACGTGGGCTGGCACGGCTTGCGGTCGTGTCTCGGGTTGGTAAGTCAAGGCCTGGCGCTGGTGGAGACTTTGGGGGTCCCTCGGTGTCCGGCTTTGGACCTTAATGGGTATTTTTGCTCTTAAGGTACCCACTGGCAAGTAATTAAAAAAAAAACTGTTGTCATTAGAGGTCCTTCGAAGGCAGTTTTGATAGGTTCTCAGAAAGTGTCCAGGATAACACGAAATGCTCGCCGTTCGTGCATGTGGCCGAGCTCGGGGTGCTCAGATGACAAATATTTGAGTCAATCTGAAAGAGTTTCAGGTCGTTTTCAAGCAATGCTGCCGTTGCCAAGCAACGTCGGTGTAAACAAGCCTAATACTCAACTAGAATATAATTAAATGTAGTTATCCTGCCATTCTCTGAGTTCAGAAGGCTGTAAACTTACGGGTTTAAGCTGTATGTAGGTGGTTACAGTTAACCTTTTGTATTGAGGTTTGGTTTCAAACTCTTTTGATTCAGAACTATTATAATGCTTTACATTTCAGTGTCACAGAACCGCCAGGGAGTTGCAAATGGATTTTGGGTTGCCGTTTGGTTATTTCTGACAAAATATGATATTCTCTCTCTCTCTCTCTCTTTTTTTTTTTTGGTTTTCTTTTTCTAACCAGATGAAGCGAAACCCTACATTTAGGGGTTTTCTCAAAGAAGGGCAATAGCAATTTTAGGGTTACATAAAGCTTGGGAAATTAAAACACCGATTGCCCACAGGTGGTTTTTAAGCCGTGGTTTTAGCCTAGCACTTTTCTCATTGAACCCTTAATGACAGAATGTGCGTGTCAAGTAATTTTCAGAGTAATAGCCATTTAAGAAAGTGGATGAGAAAACTTGACTGAATAACTTGAAATCAAATTACTACTAGTGAGAACCTGAAGTAATGTTCTTTATAGCATGTCCTTACTGTATTGTAAAAATCTGTAGACTTCATTTTAGTCCTCTCCCCCTTTTCTTTCCTGTATGCTTATGTTATAATAATGAAATATTCAAGAGTTGGGCCAGACTGAGAAAAAGAAAACTCAAGAATGACTCAAGTTGTGTGATAAAATTTTTAGTAGTCAGAAGTCAGCATTTTTGTCATGGGAACTTCTAACTCAAGAAACTTTGAAGAACAAAATCTGAACAGTAAAATTACTGAATTGTCAGAATCCTTTTTTTTTTTTTTATTGATGGCGTGTATTTTCTTGATAGTGTCTCTTTGCCTAAAGAAAATGAGCTTTAACTTGGGCATATATAATGCATTAACTTTAGTAAGTAATTGTTGTGGCAGGCAAATGCAGGCTGGTCATGTTCTCTATTCCCACAAACAGGTAAAGGAGAGTCCTGGAGCCCTCAGTGACCTTTTTTTTCTGGTTTTAATGCTCTTTCTACGGCAGTTGTTGGGGGTAGCCTACAGGCTGGCAAGGAGAGAGGTGGGGCTCGGTGAGGGACTGGCAGGCCTCCCAGCCCCCAGTGAATCTTTACTCTCTCTTTGGGGTCTCTGGCATCCTCTCGTGGTCCTGTCTCTCTGTAGTCACTGGTCTAGCACTCTCTGTGAGACGCTGCCCTTACATCCTCAGCCTCCAGGCTCAGGGGGCCCACTTATGCATGCCTACACCATACTCCAGGTGGGCATCATCAGGCATGTGTGCCCCCAGCCCATGCTCACCAGCGCCTTCTAGGCCACAGGTAATGGCCACAGAGGCCAGTGGCATAAAAACCTGAGCATCTTCATTTACCCTACAGTAATTTTTCCTAATTGTCTAATCTGTTGTGTACGTTTAAGAGCATCCATATCTGTGTAAAAAATTACTGAAGTTCACATTTCTTAATTGAATTCTTCAAACTCTCTTTACTGCCTTTTCAAGCTTATATTCTTTATAGAAAAGCTGTGCTTTGACCAGATTGGTTTCTTCATTATCCTCTAAAGCTACTATATGCTTTCTCTCTCTCATATCAGCTTTTATGTACGTTTTCTGTAAAGCTCAACTACAGTACAACTTCTCGGGAAGGAAAAACTTTTTTAAAAAAGATTTATTTTTATTATGTATATAGGAACTGGGGGTAGGCCAGAGATGTGGGTGTGCGTGAGACGATTCACCAGAGACAGAGTGGGGAGCAGAACAGGTGGATTTACTGAAATACACACTGCAAGGGGAGCAGTGGGTGAGCCAGGAGAGGTCTGCTGCGCCATATGTTGGTTAGCTCCCTGGCCAGGATTGAACTCAGGCCACGGCCAGGCCACAGCAGTGGCAGCCAGCGTGAAAGCGTTGAGACTTAACCCTATGCCACCAGGGAGGCCCCGGAAAAACTTTAAGGCTAGTGACTGGGCTTAAGAATTAGATTGAGGGCCTCCCCTGGTGGTGCAGGCAGTTGAGTGCCACGCTGTGAAGCTGTCCACAGCCTCTGCAGCGCTGGTTCGATCCTGGCCGGCCAGTGAGGGTCCCACATGGCGCGGCAGACCTCTCCTGTTGCACCCGCTGCTCCCCTCAGCAGTGTATTTCAGTCAGTCTGCCTGTTCTGCTCCCTGCTCTGTCTCTGGTGAATCTTCTCACCCTCCTGTGCATCTGGCCTGTACCCTGGTTCTTGTATAAAATAAATAAATAAATCTTTAAAAAAAAAAAAAGATTTAGGTTGACATGAAACACACTAGTGGGAGAAAAGCATGCAAATTTTATCCATGTACATAGGAACCTGCAAAGGAGATTGAAGACCTAGTGGAGTGGTTAGAGCAGAAAGCCTATCTTTTAGACAAAGAAACACTTTGTGAAAAATTGAAGACAGAGGGATTTGGGCCAAGGATAGTACATTATGAAGAAGTAACTAGAGGGAGAAGGATTACTTTAACAAGGTTTGTTTGTACAGATATTTTGACTTTGATTCTCCATTTCTGGTGATACGGATGTTTTCTTCCTGGTATAGGGAGGGCACCTATAACATGAGTTTTATCTCCTTTCAGGAAGAAAAAGGAGGATCACAGTGTGCCCCTCTTCAAAGCACCTGTTCTTTCCTCAAGTGCCTTGACTTCTAAATGGTCTGTGTACCAAAACGATGTATTTAGGTGTAACATGTCCTCAACTTCACTTCTGAAATCCTATAGTGTATATTTCACTCATGCTCATTTGATATTTATACCTTCTATGTCTTTATATTTATCTTGCCTTCCTAACTAGATTGTAAACTCCTTAAGGACAGGACATCAGAGCTCAGTAAACTGTATCTTTAGACTCTGCCAAAAAGAAGTTGCTGAATAAATGATTTGTACATTTCTACTTTGTTTTTTCCCCTCTTACAGTGAAATTTTTGAGAGTAACTGAGGAGGAAGGGCAATTGTAAATCATAAGGAAGGGAATTAAATAAGGAATTCTTTTTTTTTCCCCAAAGATTGATTGATTGATTGATTGTACAGTCAGAAGCCCGGGAGGGTGAGAGAATTCACCAGAGCCAGAGTGGGAAACAGAATAGGCAGACTCATGAAATACACTGCTGAGGGGAGCAGCGGGAGCGTCATGTGGGACCCTCGCCTGTGGCCGGGGATTGAACCGGCGCTGCAGAGGCTGCAGGCAGCTTCGCATGCAGCCCAGTGCTCAACCGCTGTGCCACCAGGGGAGGCCCCAAATAAGGAATTCTTTGGAATAACATGGAAAGATTCTGTTCCTAGAAAGTGTGAATATTAGCGAATTTCCCATGACACTATCAGAGTAAGGACTCCCTCAGGATTGCTGGTACTACTCCCTAGTTGGCTTGAGGAGTTTGGTCAGTTTCCTGGTTCTTCCTTAACAGAATCTTAGTTTCAGAAACACCTCATACCTCCTCCCTTCTTCCATCTCTCTTTCTCTCCCCATTTCACCCCTTTCCATTTTACTATTTACCTGCTCAAGACTCAGTTTATGAAATTATATCAGTGCTTTCATTCCTTTTTGGAGAGCACCTATCTCTTCAAAATGTGTCTTCAACTAAATGTTCGTTACAGAATCTGTATCTGATACTTGTAACAGTTATTTCAGAGACAAATATAAAGTCAAGGTAAATCTTACAGTACTTGTTATAAATCTTGGTTTGATTCATTTGTTTCTTGCTATCTTATGAGTTGTTGCCCAGTAACAACAGTTGCAGTATAACATAGCAACCATTGAAAACATTAACATTGGACTGTAGGGATTTTTCTGATGAAATTGCAGTGTCTACCTCTAGCATTTTCAACCTTTTTCAACCGAGTCATATTTTGGTTTATGGTAGACATTTAAAAGGGTATACAATATAGTTAAATATATAGTTTGGAATGCTGACAAATTATAATTTCTTGCACATTGTTTTTCAAATAGAGATGCATGATAACACGTATTGAGCTAGAGTGTGTGGAGGACTTGTGAAAAGATTGGCTCATTAGAGACTAGCTTTGTTGGGCTGAAAACTATTCAGTAATAATTAACAGAGTTCTCTACAACTGACGTAGTCAGTTAGAGCTGGGGTGGATGGAAGTTGAAATGATTCTCCCCTGAGTAACACTTTTGTGTTACTTCAGGAGGTCATTGGAAAGCTTAAATCAGTAAGCATGAATTAATAGACACCATGATTTTGTGGGAAGAGAATTGTGATTTAGACCGAGGCTTGTCTGGGTTAGTTGTGTTAGTAGGCCTTCCTTGGCCCGTTTTCTCATTGGAAAAAAATTCCTGAAGGTCTTTCTCAGAAATTGTATCATT